TTCAAACCGAGCATTTGGAAATAATTCCTACCATTCCCTAAAATCCAAATGCTACATGTCGAATGTGGTGAGGTTAAGTCTAGTGACTTTTAATGATTCCTATGACCTTTTAAAGTGGAATACGGCAGGGTATTCTTTACGGGAGATCACCTATGTAAGTGTGAAGTATAGGGCCGCTTCAATGAAACACTTATGAGTCCAAGAATTGGTCCAAGGCCGAAATGGACACAACGTGAGAACAAAAGACGTTAGAGATGTTATTGTGTAAGTGTTGTTGTCTTGGTTTACATAAAAGTTGATTATTTCAAGACACCGCGCTCACTAAGCAACAAGTAAATCCGACAGCATTTTACTAAGGAATATTCAAAGCCATAAGCTACATCTCCCGATGCAATAACAAATCGCTTGGACTTTGAATGTGTCTGCATGCATTAATTTCATTCATGTGGGGATTGTTGGAAATTTTGAGTGTTAGACTCAATTTTGGTTGACTATTTAAGTGGATTAAATTTAGTTTCTCAAAATTAAATGAATGAGAAATTAATAAAATCACTTAATATAATAAATGGAAAATAAAGAAAGTGAAATGCTACATTGAAAAAGATGGAGGTGTTTAAACACCTATTAAATTGAATAGGTGTGTGGTTAATGAGAAAATGTATGATACCATTTCCTGAAATTATTTTCCTAAGGATTGACTTGTGGTCATAACCTTTGCAAATCTATAAATAGATTCCAAAATCCACCATTAGATTAATTCATTTTTTCACATCGAATTCAACACATTAATTGAATTCACTTCTCGTCGTAGCATATCATTGCATATTGTTGCATTTATCAAGTCCATTTTTCCGTGTCTTATAAAGTCCTAAACGTTGTTTCGTTAGCCTTGTTCCAATAATTGTTGTGCTGCTTTGTTGGAACTGAAATAGTCGTTGTATCTTAGGAGACAATTACCGTAACCGAGAGCACTGCACGGGGCAAATTTGTCTTAAGGAGAAAGAACCGAGTTCTTGCCTCGACAACATTTTTCTTGTCAAACTTTTGTCCAAATTTTGTTCGTTCTCATTTCGAAATACGCACACCCACATATAACACTATGTACATTTTCATAGTCGATTAAGTTAATCGACTATGCTCTATCAGTCGATTAAGGTTGATCGACTCCAAATTTTTTTTAATTTTTTTTTTGAATTTTTTGTTTATTGATTCCAATTGTATAAATCATTTATAATGTTTGTATATTCTTTGTTTTTGTAATATATAGTTGATTTTGCATTTTTTCGCAGTTGTGATTTGTTATTTTTAGAAGCAGATTCTTAATCGACTATGCTTCACATCATAGTCGATTAATGTGCTTCATTGACTCCAATTTTTAATTTTTTTTTGGATTTTTTGTTTATTGATTCCAATTGTATAAATCAATTATAATGTTTGTATAATGTTTATTTTTGTAGAATATAGTTGAGTTTGCATTTTTGTAGTTGTGATTTGCTATTTTAGTTGTTGGTTCCTTAATCGACTACAGTTCATCATAGTCGATTTAATATGCTTCGTAGTCGATTAACATACCTGATAGAGAAAAACAGTTAAAAAACGAAAAAAAATTAATTAAAAAATAAATAATAATAATAATAATAATAATAATAATAATAATAATAATAATAATAATAATAATAATAATAATAATAATAATAATAATAATAATAATAATAATAATAATAATAATAATAATAATAATAATAATAATAATAATAATAATAATAATAATAATAATAATAATAATAATAATAATAATAATAATAATAATAATAATAATAATAACAATAATAATAATAATAATAATAATAATAATAATAATAATAATAATAATAATAATAATAATAATAATAATAATAATAATAATAATAATAATAATAATAATAATAATAATAATAATAATAATAATAATAATAATAATAATAATAATAATAATAATAATAATAATGATAAAAAAAAAAGAAAAAAAAAACAAGAAAGAAAGAGATAAAGACGCGGGTGATGGATCATGGGGTGATGGGTCATGGGTGGTAGTGTATAGGGAGGAGGGACATAAATAGAAAAATTGGTGGCTAAAATTAGGAGTGAGTTTTTATCAAATGGTGCAAAATAATTTGGGTTTTTTTCTATTAAAAGAACTATTGAGGGGTTATATCAAAGAGCACCTAATGATATCACATTAGTAATATAATGACCTAGGAGAAAATTAGTTTAGAAGTAAAATCTTATGATAAGAACATTCCAAAATAAAAGACAACTTTGGGACAAAAAGAAAAAAGTCAAAATCTTGATTTGAATGGTTTGCAACTTCACATGGAAAAGGTCATTAAAGTCCAACTCCCGGTTACATCTTTAATAATGTCCTCTAGAAGAAATTAAGTCATAGGTTTTGATATGTAGTTATCTATAGATCAAAATTTAAATTTTAGATCTATAATACTTCCAACAACTTAGGTGCAACTGTGCAACATCACATGGAAACATTGTCAAACGATTTAGCCGTAAATTAGTTTGGCTGCCTACTTCCTTGTCCAAATGATTTTAGAATTAATTATTATTTAATGAGGCAACTCTCATTTATAAATTTTCCTTAAAAATTATGCCACGTTATAAGTCATTTAGTGACGTATTATTTCTAGAGAAAAATCTTTTAGAACTAGAATCTTATGATAAGAACATTCCAAAATTAAATAAGAATACTTTAAACTTTGGGACAAAAAGAAAATAATTAAATATTTGCATTTGAATGGTTTGCAACTTCACATGGAAAAGGTCATAAAAATCCAACACATGATCGCATCTTTAATGTCCTTTAGAAGAAATCAAGTCAAAGGTTTGATCTCAAGTTATATAGAGTAGAATTAGGCTTCATTTGCTTACCTATATCGAATTAGATCGGATTATATTAAATTGAGTTAATTAATTAGTTAATAATAATATGTTTTGGTTCATTAGATTGTATGTTGTATTAAACTTGTTAGATTCTGTTATTATATGTAAATTGTCTATAAAGTCTTTTATTTAACAAAATTAAATTATTATTTTGAAGATAAACTAGTAATTTTCCGTATTAGTTACCTCTTCAAAGTTAATGGCTAGGGGGTTACATGACGCAGTAGCATTTAATTGCGGACTTCAACTTTAGTAGCGAACTTGAGTAATGTTGAATTCTACCAACCAAACATCTTATTATCTCCTACTATTTAGTTAAGCCGACGGATATATGCAAACACATTCTTTTATTAGTTCAAGACCTTCAATATAAAAATAGTAATTTACCCTTATTGAAATTCAACATCAAATAAAAAACACAAAACATTAAAAAAAAAATAAAAAAAAAAATCATTTCCTTTCTGCAAGACCAAATAAAATACATAAACTCAGGAACCCCCTTCATTGTTTCATGACTTAAAAATCTCCTCCTCCTTCTCCTTCTTCTTCACAAACCCACCAAGAAATCCTACACACCAAAATTATCAAATACACACCAAACATTCACGAAGAGGTTCAGGTTCCACGGCAAAATATTTAAAAATAATCAATTGATGACCAATTATATTATATATATTTTTTTTTAAAAAGAAAAAAAACGAAAAAAAAATCGGTATCCGAAAACCGATTTTGTACTCCATAATCGACATTACAACGCCGATTTTGACTTGTAAAGTCGACGTTGTGTCGCCGATTTGGTTAACAAAAATCGGCATCATGAGCCCGGTTTTCGTGTACAAAATTGGCATGGGTAAACCGATTTGGGAAACCAATGAAAACACACGAAAAAACCAATTTCAATCTCAATTATTTTTCCAAAATCGGCTAAAGCATTGCAACCAACATGAAATAAGCATATATTAATGTTCATCCACGCATATTTATCAAGAATCGATGCTTGATTAATATTTTCGAATTTACAAAAGAAAGTTTAGTAAAAATGACTTACTTGTTGGTGGTGGTGCGGTGGGTGGGTCGCTGGTCATCGCCGGCGCGGTGGAAGTCTCACTGGTCGGCATCGCGGCAGTCTGGCGGCGGCAGTTGTGCTGCAGTCGTGAGTTATTTTTTTCCTTTTTCTTTTTCTTTTTGTTTTTTTTTTCGGGCTTGAACAAATTAAAAATAGGGTTTGTTTGTATTTGGGTATTATTTATGGATGAGGGCGTATACATCCTCTTTGGTCTTGATGTAATAAAATTAGATTAATTTACGGGCTTGAACCCCTTTATGTGGGTTTAAACTAATAAAAGAATGGGTTTGCATATATCCGCCCCCTTTAGTTAATCTAACGTAATAGTAAACGAGGCCTAAGGATGAAAATTGAATGGAATGATTATGAATCATAAAGATTTTGTCCCGGAAGTAAAAAATGAGTTCCAATTTCTGTTTCAGAAAAATAGGAATGCAAAAACTCATTTCTATTTCGTATCGGCGGAATTTCGAAAATATCATTAGTTTTTATAATTTCTTGTTCCAAATTCAGATATAATGCAAAATTTCACAATATTTTCAATCTTTTTTCGATTTTTTATTGGAAAATGCAAGAAAAATCAAAAGAGGGACAAAATAAATACAACCACTACGAACAACAAATTGAAATAGAGATTTTCTAATAAAGAAAAATATAAGATATTTTCTGATACCAATTAATATTTTCTAAGGTCTTAATTTACTTGACCCTTCGGTATTTATATATATTTTCATATATAATATAACATAAGTTATATTATAGAATTATAAAATATATCATAAAATTATATTACATTATATATTTTAAAGAACAATCAAACATATTTAGAACTAAAATTAGATCGAAAATCGGAATTTCCAGTAATTTAATATACCATTCAGATTTTGTTCCAAATGAATTCGGAAAAATTGAAAGTCGGGACTCCGGAAATCATAATGAAAAAGACGTTCCAAGTTCGGATATTTTTTTATTTTTAGATCGGAATATTCCAATTCCGATTTCCCTTGAGTAGAAGTAAAAATTTAAATCTTGAATACTTCTATATAGTCAACTAATTTAGATGCAAAGTCACATTGAAAAAGTCATCATTTTCAACTGCAAAGGACCTTATCAACTCCAATATTTGAAAAGTAAAATATTTAATTATTGCACTATAAATACATATCCACACCAATTGTAAAATCATAAAAACAAATCTTAAACTCAAACAAACATGGCTTATTCTTTCCTTCTTCCAATTCTAGTAATCTCAATAAATTCTCTTCTCATCCAAACAGCCCTTTCAGCATCCCCACTTTTCAGCATATGTTCCAGCACTCAAAACTTCACCACCAACAGTCTTTATGAGAGAAACCTTAACAAACTCTTAGGTGATCTCTATTTCAAGACCCCTCCAACCGGGTTCGGGTTTGGATCATCCGGTCAGTACACCGACCGGGTTTACGGGCTCTCCCTCTGCCGCGGCGACGTCTCGACCAACGACTGCAAGACATGTGTCGTCGAGGCAAGCAGCCACGTCACCAAGATTTGCCCCAACATCAAAGGGGCCGTCATTTGGTACGACAACTGCTACTTGAAATACTCCGATGTCAATTTTCACGGCACGATCGATAATCGGAACAAATTCTACATGTGGAACTTGAACAACGTGAGCACGAACGCTGAGCTGTTTAACCAGAAGACGAGAGAGTTGATCGGAAATCTGTCGACGAATGCTTCTCGAACGAGTAAAATGTACGCGAATGGGGAAACTGACATCGGGATAGAATCGAAAATATACGGAATGGCTCAATGCAGTAGAGATTTATCGAGAGATGATTGCAAGAAGTGTCTCGACGGCGCAGTGAGTGAGCTACCGAGTTGCTGTGGAGGGAAACAAGGCGGGAGAGTTGTTGGCGGGAGTTGTAATATTAGATATGAGATCTATCCTTTTCTCAATTAGTTTTCATGTTTATATATATTCAATAAATGATTTGTAATTTTGATTGAATTCAGTAATTTTATGTGTTTATTCAATAAATATTATTGCCTAATTTTAATTGATTTCAGTAATTTGTTTGTGGCAATCATATATTCACATTCGTTCTATAAAATTGTACTCTACCGGTATACAGGTACGAACGTATAAACATGTTAGTTATATGAATAAACAACAACTTAGTTAAAATAAACTGAACAACAAATTAAAACAATAATGAATACATCTCACAATGCATACACAACTTACACGTACAGACAACTTATAAAACTTATTTACAGAGTTTAGTTACATTAATGAGCAAAAATTTAGAATAGAACACGTATTTCATATAATTTTATTATGAACTTAGGCAGCTTAGAAAATTATTTGCACAACTTAGTTACACAACTTAGAGGGTGTTTGGCTAAGCTTATAAGATGTTAAAAGGAGCTTATAAGATGTTTTAGAGCTTATAAGCTCTTCCAAAGTGTTTGGTAATTTTTTACAAAAAGATCTTATTTTTTTTTTTAAATAAGCTGTTGGAGAGCAAATAAGATATTTTTAAATAAGTACCTCTACCCCACCTTTTTATTTAAGATCTTTTAATGAGTAAAAATAGGAAATAAGTCCATTATCCAAACACTTTAAAAATTATCCTAAAAATAAGATGTAACAGCTTATCAGCTCTTAAAACATCTTATCAAACGTAAGAGCTTATCAGTTGTTTAAAATAAGCTTAGCCAAACACCCTCTTAATTACACAGTTTATTTAAAATGAACTGAAGGAAAAAAAAAAACCTTAAATCTTTGGTGCGTACATCACCACCAACATAATCATCTGCCATTACCAAACAATTCTTCATATTTTTCCTTTTTGGTTTCCATAATTATTAGGTTACAATGAAGGGGAAGAGGAGAAACCAAAATTGTATATGTGTGTGGTTATGTGTGTAGAGCTTCGACGATGACAGCGACGAGAGCAGGGATAGAGTGAAGCGGGGTTGTACGAATCTGACAATGTAAAGCTGCGTTAAATGGATTAACGGAATAAAGGGGAGATAGAGAACAAATAACTTTTTAGCAACTCGCCAAAATCTGTCTGGCTTGATTTAAAACAGAATTAATCTCCAGAGTGTTATGCAAATTACCCCCAAAAAAATAGTAGAACCCGATTGTACGATTTAGCCTGTCCAAATGATTTTAAAATTATCATTTATTAATGAGAGTTGAAAATAGTAGTCAATGATGCCACGTTATAAGTAATTTAGTGACGTATTATTTCTAGAGAAAATTATTTTAGAACTAGAATCTTATGATAAGACCATTGCAAAATAAAATAAAGAAATCTTTGGGACAAAAAGAAAAAGTAACAATTAAATCACTTTAAATAAATTAATAGAGTTGAGGCTAATAAATTTTTGTTAATTTGGTGCAGTATTAAATTATTGAACTAATAATTTAATATGTTTTTATTGAATTGAGACCAAAAGAAAGTACTATTTAAGCGACGTTATTAATTTTTCAAACATTAATTTATCGACATTATGCTTGTATTTTAATTTGAATGGTTGCAACTTCACATGGAAAAGGTCATAAAAATCCAACACCTGATTACATCTTTAATGTCATTTAGAAGAGATCAAGTCATAGGTTTGATCTCAAGTTAGAACTAATGGATCTGAAATGGCTTTTCCGATTTTTTTTTTTTTTGAAGTAAAAATGGTTCCAATTTCTGTTTCAAAAAATAGAAATGCAAAAATTCATTTCAATTTTCGAACGCTTCGGAATCGGTGGAGTTTCGAAAATTTTATAATCTCTTGTTCCAAATTCAGATATTATGCAAATTTTCAAAATATTTTTCATATCTTTTTCGAAAATTTGCAGGAAAATACAAAGAAAAATCAAAAGAGGGGCAAAATAAATACAACCATGTGTAGGAACAACAAATCAAAATAGAGACTTTCTAATGAGAAAAAAATGCAACACAAACTTCTGATACCAACTAATAGAGTGGTGATATTTCCACCTCCAAAGTATTTTAATTAACCACCAAAATTATATAAAATACCATAAATACCCCTCAAATTTTATTCCACCACCCTTCTTTATATTCTCGGTTAACCCTCATGTGTTTTAAGTTATTTTTATTGTTTTGCCAATGAAATATTTATTACAAGATATTTAAACTTTCATATCAGATGACGTGCAAATTATGTAACTTTTTTTTTAGGAAACGAGATTTTATCAAGCCAAACTGCCCATTTTTCGAGGAAGTTCAGGACCTTCCATACAACCACTCTTAAGTTATTTCATTAAGAAAGTGAAATCCTGCTATTTTTTTTTTATCTTCGGAGATGTTTTTTTCTGACGAAGGTATTGTTCACTTAAGGTAGAGATAGTGGGATTTTGTATCAAAGATTTCAGTGAAAAAATGTAAATTTTTTTATAAATATTTTAATTAGTTTAGTGGTGGACAGTTGATGAATTTGTACAGAACATAGGTGAAAGAATAAGAAAATGGGTAAAATAGGAAATATATTTAATTTGGTGGTGAAATAAGATATTTTGAGGGTAGAAATAGAAAGTCTGCAATTAATATTTTTTAAAATTTTAATTTACTTGACGCTTCGGTATTTATATGTTTCATATAAAATATAGGGACTATTAGTGAGAACCCCCTCTAATATTATTTTAATAAGGATGGATCTAGCTCCTTTTCCTTTATTAGTGAGAGACCCATTACTTTTTTATTTTCAAATTTAACCTTCAACTATTCTCTACCAATTATCCACTAGTTTGATGTATTTTAAAAAAAAAAATATTTTAATTTTAATTTTCGATTTTTTTATTTATTTCTTCTTTAAAATATAATAATAATAATTAAATTTTCTTTTTTATTTTTTTAATATTTTTATTTAATTATTTTTTTACTATATATATTTTTTTGTTTTTCAGTTAAACAACTATATTTCAATAAAACAACTATTATTAAAAACAACTGTTATTAAAATAATTGGTATTAAAACAACTATACATTCCAACAACTATTTGTTAAAGTAACTATTTATTCAAAACAACTAAAAAGTAATGAAAACAACAATATTGTTTTGCGAAAACAACTATATTGAATCAAATGGAAATTATTGAAACAACTATGCATTCCAACAACTATTTGTTAAAGTAACTATTTATTCAAAACAACTAAAAAGTAATGAAAAAAACAATATTGTTTTGCGAAAACAACTATATTACTATGCGAAAACAACTATACTGAATCAACTAGAAATTATTAAAATCAACTAAAACAAAAGCAAAAAAAACACACTAGAACTCCAACAAAAACGACTATTATCGATACCAACTACAACCGTAACAAAAACGACTATTATCGATACCAACTACAACCGTAACGAAAACAACTATATATTTTTGACTAACATGAACACAGTTTCAACAAAGTAACATACATTCTACAATTAATTGAACGATAATCAGCCTCCCAAACAATACCAAACATAACGGACGAAGCAGATCCGCTTATGTTAAGCGCGAGGTTACGGTTGAGCGTCGGCGTTTGCGATTCTCACATGAAAATGCAGCCCAAGGAGATAAAGTAGAGAGGTAACGAGCAAAGTGCGAATAAAACGGTATAAATTCTGTGAAAAAAGGAAAATTAAAATTAAAATAAAATAAAATAGGAAAAAAGGAGAATTGAGAACAGCAGACTGATGAACAGTATACCACGGATTTAAAAAAAAAATCTAATCTTTCAAAATTCCGTAGAGAAATGGGAAAGAAAGGCAATAACAAAAACAAACCCCCAAAATAAAAAAAAAAAAAAAAAAAAAACAGAGTACACACACAAACACGAAGAAGTGAGAGTAAAAATTACCAGTTCCGATGGAGATATAGATACAAAGGAGAGGATTGTTGAGTGAGAGAGCAGAGCTGCATAAAAGCTATGGTGTGAAAATTGAGAAAAATGAATTTAAAAGCAAAATAATTGGGAGTGTGATCAGCAATCAGAAGAAGAATGAATCAGACGCGAGAAATGAAACAGAATATATATGGCCGTTTGTGATGGACGATGTGATTCCTGAAAAGAAGAGAAAACATGAGGGAATTAGAGAACGGTGGTTTGTGATGGACGATGTGGCTAGGGTGTAAATATAAGATTTGGTAATTAGGGATAATATAGGTATAATATTTAGGGGCCTTAAGATATAAGTCCATCGTGACAAAATTAATTAGAACTAAATGACAAGTCCAATTAAATCTTTGCTTCACATCCTTTATTAAATTCATTCCAAAAATGCCCCTCCACTTACAAATTTAAAATTTGCATTAAATAAAATTCAAACTGTATTTATCATTTTTTATTATGCATTCCATCTAACATATTCTTTTTCATTTTTCACTCTAGCATTTTTACATTATTATAAGCAACTTACGTTTTTTTCCTTATTTTTAACATTTTATTAAAAATTACGAAAAAGAATATTTTTCGTTTTTGTTAAATAGTACTGCAGATTTTAAAAGTAGTGTACTATCGTATACTATGGCGTACTATAGTATACTAATATTGAAAATTATGAATGTTTTTTAAACAAAATCGGCCGTAGTCATCGATAGACACATGTAGTAACCATAGTAATCCGTAGTCACATACTCTTAAAACCCTAGCTCCCATTTTGAACCCTAACCGCTACCCATTCGTAGACACTCATAGTAATCCATAGACATTAGTAGTCATACGCACTCATCCAATATGAAACCCTAGATCCGCCACAACCTCCACCTATGAAAATGGATCTCCGAAATCTGCCCATAATCATCGAACATTTTTTCTCTTCTTCTATGTCTCACTTTTCATTATAATTAGCCTTCCTCTCCTCCAAACACAATATCAAATTACGACTACGTTGGAGTATTAAAGAATACACTAAAAAATCTAATTCTGACCTACGCAAACTGACTAATGTGGCGAAAAACAATCTTGAAATCAAGAAATGATTAAGCTACATTTAAAAGTCCCAAAACAAAAAAAAAATAAAAAAAACTCGTCGGCGTTGA